GGGTGGAAAGATAGGTGGATAGGTGGGTTGATGGGTAGGTGGGTGGATGGATGGATAGGTGGGTGGATGGGTGGGTGGGTAGATGAGTGGGTGGTTTTTCCTGCCCTTGTCTGCATTTTGTAGCACCTTTACATGTGCTCTTCTAGTCCTTAGCACATGGAGAGTTTGCCTTGGTCTTGCTTGCAGGACTTGGCATATGCTGCTCCCTCAGTGGACGTCATGAGTTTTGTCTTCCCAGCACCCATTTTTCCTTTGGGTAACAATGCTTGCTCCCCCCTCTACCCCCCACAACCGGTACACTTAGATACTGTAGTTAGGTGAGGCTGACCCTATTTCATGGCTTCACAGGGGGTGGCCACATAACCCAGGCCTGTGATTGGTTCAGGGAGGGGCACATGACTGAAAGTGGCCTAATGAGAACCTTCCCTGGGATTTCTCTTGGAGCCTCTGGCAGCCATCTTGCTTCTGCAAGGGCAGAGTCTGAGAATGAAGCCAGCGTGGAAGAGAACAGCCGAGAGATGATGGGGTCTACTTGCTTGGATCCAGCCTCACCTGGACTTTTCAGTTACACAAGTGAGAACTGCGCTTTGCTTGTCAGTTTCAGATGAGTTTCTGTTACTTGCAGCCAATTCGGATTGAGACTTGATCTAATTCCTGCTCTTGTAATTCCTGCTCACTGACCCTGCAGGATGTTCTTTGAGATCTCTTTGTCCCCCAGTCTGAGTCTTCTCCCCATCAAAGCACACACCAGATAGACTGCCCACCACCACCACTGCAAGTTGCGGGAGAACTGTGGTCTTTTCTATACCTCTGTACCTATTATAAGGTTGGGCACATAGTAGGTGTTCAATAAACATTTAAATATAAACATAATAGATGCTTGACAAATGACCTGCTATCCTAGGTGTCTCTAACTGTAGTGACTCCATCTTTAATTCACCATGTCATGATATTGATTGAGCGTCTGCTGTGTGTCAGGCGCTGTCCTAGGTGCTGGGGATATTGCAGTGAGTAAAACAGATATCCCTGCCCTTGGCAGGCTGATAGTCCAGTGTTGTAGACACATTTTGGGGTGCTCGCCTTGCCTAGATGGGTTAATTATAAGATCTTATCCCTGTATTCACCCACAGCTGCTTAGACAAGAGGCTGGGCTGGCCCATTCACAGTCTCTCTTCCAAGAATTTAGAGCTGAGTGATAGACCCACTGGGTCAGCAGCTGCAGATGAGGGACCAGGGAGACAGTGTGAAACTGAGGCTGTGGTCTCTTTGGTATGAGATTTCTGGTCTGAAAAGAGTGGGTGTGCGGGGCATCTGCTGACAGATTCTGTGGTGTTTGGATTGGGAGTTAAATCACAGCTCCCACACACCATTGGCAGCTGGCCTCTGGTTCACCTTGCCAGTGGGAGCCACTGTCAGGAGACTGGACTAGGGGAGGAAAGGAGAAGGGGCTACTTCTGCTTCCAGCATGGGGTATGTCCATCATCAGCAGACAGTTCAGGCACCAGAACCCCTTGGAGGGCTGAACTCTGTGGCATGGCTCCAAAATCCAGGCATGAGGCACCTCCCCCTGAGGCCTGAGTCTCAAACACATGGGGCCCTTCTCTGACCTCCTGAGTGTTAGTAACATCCTCTCTTCCGTTTACTTCCCCACCCCTAGGGATGGTAGCCAAGTAGCCCTGGTGGTATAACAGTTAAATGCTCAGCTGCTAAGCAAAAGATTGGTGGTTTGAACTCACCCAGTGGCTCCGTGGAAGAAAGACCTGGCGATCTGTTCCCCTAAAAACCACAGCCTAGGAAACCCTACGGGGAAGTTCTACTCTGTCACACAGGGTTGCTATGAGTCAAAGTCAACTCAATGGCATCTAACAACAGCAATAAGAGGGGTGGGAGCTACCTTCCTGCAGTAAGTAATCCCTGCTGACTTCAGTGTCCTCTACTTGCTCTTTCAACCCTGTGTAGCCAATCCCTGCATTCAATCCCCTCTGACTGAAATACCTAGATAAGGTTCTGTTCTTCTGACTGTGCTCTGGCTGATACAGGGAGAGCGAAGCCCAAAAGAGATTTGTAGAGATGAGGCCCCAGACAGAGTATGAGAGAGAAAGGAGATGCAGCAGACAGGTCCTCTAATTCTTTCAATCTTTTGTCAGTGTTTCCTACCCTTGGGTCCTATGAGCTTCATTTTTCTCCTTCTGGCAGATGTACCTTTTACTGATGAAAACGGATTCCATTTCTTGCAAAACCCCACAGCCCCCTAGAGAATGTTCATGTGCTGAATCCTTCTTCTGGCTCCTGGTCATGCAGAGGAAGGCATCCATCTTGAGGAGAGCAAGTGGGAGTGTCCCCAGATCAACTAGAAGAACCAACTCTCAGCCGCACCAGTTTTTCCTTCAGCACAACCCAGTGGTTCTCAAACAAGGGTGTTTCTGCCTCCCAGGGGAAATTTGGCCATGTCTGGAGACATGTGCGATTGTCACACCCGGAGGTGGGTGCTAATGGCATCTGATGGGTAGAGGCCAGGGATGCTGGTAAACACCCTACAATGCACAAGGCAGATCCTTGCTCCCAACAAAGAATGTTCAGTCCCAAATGTCAACAGTGCCTGATTAACCCCATCCAAGGCTCGCTCAGGGTAGTCTAGCAGGGAGCAGGCCTGTGACACAGCACACTCTAGGGAAGCCCATTCTCCTGAGCGGGAACCAGGCCAAGGGAGTTCACTCCCCACATGTCTACAGACTCACCAGAAATGAGCAGAGGAAGATGAAGGAAACGAAGTAAAAATAAGCGAATTCGTTGCCACAGTCGGGAGTCAAGATGCCAGAGTTTTTATCACACGGCTTTCCACTGAGGCAGGACAGCATGATGTTGTGCCAAGCCTCCCCGGTGGCGCTCCTGAGGGCAGAGAGGAGGCATCAGCGGCCTGGGCACCCAGCCCCAACTGGATCCCAATGACGCCCGAGCAGGAGAGCATGGTGGCTAAGCACTGGGGTTCTGGAGCTCAGACAGGGGTGTCTCATCCTCAGCTGGGACAGCCACCAGGGGGAGCTTTTAAAAATGCTGATGCCAAGGCCCCACCTGTACAGATTTGGATTCAACTGGTGCTGGTGGGGCCTGGGGATATAAGTATGTTTTAAAAGCCTCCCAGGTGGTTGTCACATTTCACTATTGTCTCCATCAGTTACTCTGCTCCAGGGACATTGGGCTCCTTGCTGTCCTCAGACATGCCAGCCACACTCCTACCTCAGGGCCTTTGCACTTGCTGTACTCTCCCTTGGAATGCCCCTCCAGATATCCACTTGGCTTCCTCCCTCATCTATTTCTCTCAAATGTCACTCACTCAGGTGTTTCTGAGCACGTTATTTAAAACTGTGATGGCCCTGCTGACTGTCTGTCTCCCCCATGGGAATATATGCTTCCAGAGAGCAGAGAATGCTGTCTCTTTCTCTCTGCTTTGTTCCTTGCTCTGTCCTAGTACCCACAGCAGTGCCTGGCACACGGCAGGTGCTCAGTAAATCTCTGTGGAATGAATGGAGGCACTCTAATGTGCAGCCAGAGTTAAGAAGTCCCTAAGCCTGCTTCCTCATTTGTCAGATGAGGTTCCTAGGAATCTCCCCTCACAGGATGGTCAGAAAGATTCAATGCACTAATGTTCCAAAATGCTCCTCATGCTTATGTTTCTGGGTCTTCAGCTCCTGTCCTGCAGGGTCCCTGGGACCCGGCGCGCTCACCCTACACTTCAACAAAACAGAAGATCAGGGCATGTCCCCCCACCCTTCCCCACTGAATGGAAGCATGAGGGCATGTCTCCCACCGAAACAGATACACAAGGGTACTACCCAACATGAACAGAGTGAGGACATGCCCATCCTCCACGGAAGAGAAGCATGAGGGGACAACCCCTCCCTCACCGGAAGAGAAGCATGAGGGCCTGGAAGAAGGTCCGGAAGTTATTGTGTTCAGTGATTTGGAATTCATCCTCATCACTGTCCTCGTCCTCCACGTCAATGCCAATGTTGCCAAACACCTGTGGAGATGGATGGTGATGACTGGGGTGGCTGTGTTCTCGGTGGCCCCAGAGATACCAAGCTCAACCCCCATGGCTACCTCTATGAACCAGACTCCCCTGACCCAGCCCTGCCTAAGGGTGGCTGCCCTCCATGAGAGGTTCAGGACCTTAGGGGTGACGTACTGACCTGCATTCCGATGATGGCGTAGATGAAGAATAGCATGGCAATCAGCAGACAGACATATGGCAGGGCCTGGAGGAAAGGAAGGCATTGAAATGGGGTGCTGGGGACCCCTTACTGGCACAGTTTTCCTCCTTGATCCCAGTGCTCAAGTTCTGTCCCACTGGACTGAGTGGCCAGATGCTGTGCTGGAATAGTGCCAGGGCTGGTGGGCATCTTTGGTGGCTCTAGGATGAGGCCACAACACAAGGCATCAGTGGGGTCCCCTTAGGGCTTTTAGGATACTCCAAGGACAGGAAGTTAGACAAGAGCCCTGCAGGTAACAGATTCTCAGCAAGGACCATCAGAAGGGCATCTAGAGCCTCGGTGTCTAGACTCAGCCAGAGCTGGGAGGCATGCTCTTTTTCTCAGCCCTGGGTGGGTGGCAGATGCAGGGGCTCACCTTGAAGGACTGCACAAAGGTCCAGAGAAGAATGCGGATGGTGTAACCCTGACGGAGGAGTTTGATGAGCCGGGCAGCTCGGAAGAGGCGGAGGAAGCTCAGATTGATGAAGTTATTCTGGGGAGATGGAGAAAGAGGGGGTGACCATCCACCCACCCCCAGGGGCTCAGAGCCATCACCAATCACAGAGGCCCCTACATGAAGCCAACCAACAGGTAAAAGCAAGCCAGACCCCAAATAAGGAGGGAGAGGAAAGAAAGCACTATTAATGCAATGGTGCGGAGGAAAAATTGAAAAGGGAAGAAGTTAGGGAGGGAGAGGGTGGGAGGGACGAAACAGCATCAACTCAAAAGCATAAGCCCTCCCCATCAGCCCACCCGCAATGGGGAAAAGGAAAGAAAAGGAAGGAGGTGAAAGGAACAGGGTAGGGGAGTGGGTAGGGAAGAAATAATAAAAGAACAAGGAAAAGAAAATATATCCGAATCATCCAATCAGGAAAAAAATCGAGATGGTTTTTGTTTCTCCCAACAACCAAATGCACTGAGACGATAGGACACAAGCGGGTCAAGTTGCCGAACCCATCACACGTGTACGATGCACAAACACCACGGCGGGGGGGCAGGGGAGGGGCAGCCAGCACGCATAGGCCTGGTGGACATGTGCGTGTTCCGAGGGCATGTTACGCTCCGGGCCAGAAATGCATCTGTCATGAGACTCACTGGGCACCCTGCCCTGCCCTGCCAAGCTGCCCACCCACTCCTGCCCGCCCTGACCTCACCCCACGGCCAAGAGGAGCAGCGGCTCGAGCCAATTGGGAGAAGCAGAAGAGCATCTTTTCTTACCCCCTTGGCGAGCGGGAATGGGGAGGACGGGAGGGAGCTGGGGCTGTTCGGCTGCAGGGTGAGTCCTCGCTGCCCGCTGAGTCCGAGAAGATGCATTTGGGGCCCTTTTCCCCCCTCTCAGGGATGGCTTCTCAGCTTCTGGGGCTGGGTGGAGTAGCACGGGACCAGGCCTGCGGGAAGCAGGAAGTACGCAGCTCCCGTGGGTGGGTGGGCTCGGAATCGGCCGGGTCCACCAAGGGGCTGGTGCTGGGGGCCAGGAGGTGGGGCCGTCCCTGCCCCCAGGACCTCCCTGGGTGGCCCCTGCCTCTGTTTCTCAGAACCCCTGTCTAGCCACTGCCTCTACCTCCTCCCGCCCAAGCCAGAACCTGGGGATCAGTGGGCAGGAAGCCAGGAGTAGGGTGGACACGGGCTGAGGACAACACGTGACTGTCCAAGGCCTGTCTGCTGGAGCTCCAGGGGGCAGTGATGTGTGGGGGGTGGTGGTGGCTAGAAGTCACAAATGGATCGATCTGGCCAATGAAGCTATTTTGTTGGGCCTGCCTGAGCAGCACTTAAAAAAAAATTAGAAATAGTGGCCAATGTTTAAAAATGAGATTTCACCACAAATCCGGTTTTTCAGCACACTGGCCTGCTTCCGGCATGGCAACTGGGGCTCAGTCACAACTGCCCCCCTTGAAACAGTCCGAGGTCCCCAACGCTCTGGCAATGGTACCTGCTCTCCTGGTTTACGGTATCTACTTAGCCCTCTTAGGCATGTGAGTTTAAGACCCTGCCTCAGGCAGAGCCGGAAACCCTGCTTCACTAGTGGGCCGGGGGAGAGAAGCAGAGAGCCTACTGCTAAGAGGGGCCTTAACTGGAAGGGCCTCAATGGGGTTCAGAGGAACCCTAGATACAGGCCACATGGCAAGATATAAATTGGCCTAGCCCCACCCCCAAATGGCACAGGGGTGACATTCAAGTATTCACAGCTCCCCCCTCAGTCTCAGGAGTGCCCTGGTCTCGAAGGTTCCCAGAGGGCTTCCCAACAGACCGCTCTGTATCTTAAGCTAGCTCTGGCGTAGGGGCTGGAGGCAGGGAAGGGCCTCAAGGAATCTCTGGGACTGGAGCAAGGCCTTTGGGTTTGCTGGCAATGCATAGGATGCTTTCTGAGACACATCAGTTGACCTTCCGGCCTCTAGGGCGGAGGGGTCTGGGGGACCCTACCCTGATGACATTGGCCCAGCTGCTGCTGTGAAAATGTACCAGGTGTCTCTAGCAAGCCCCTAACCCTGGGTTTAGCTAAGACAGTCCCCCTGCAAGCCCTGCTGACCTGACCCAGACCCCAGCCCTGCCTGGCCACCCAGCTCTACCTGGGGATGGGGCCGGTGGCCCAGCTGTGCCCTGCCCCCTCCCGTCCATCCCCAAAGTACAAGCCATCCCTTCCATGGGGCCGGATCATAACATGTGGACTCGGCAGAGCATGCAAAGGCAGGCGGGACCTGGAAGCAGCCTGGAGGCTCGGGACGGGCAAGAGCCTGCCGCCAGCCATGCGGGAGAAGCCAGGGGGCTCAGGGATGCATGCAGAGCAGCTGCCCTTCTTGGAGCGAGCAAGGAGACACATTGGGCGGGGTGGAGACGAGAGATGGGGTGGGGGTGAGGGGGAGGTGCTAATCCACCCTCATCCATCCCTCCCACCCTCCTGGATCTGCGTCTAATCCTTCAAACACCCATATCACCTCCAGCGGCTTTCCTCCTGCTAGCTTCCACCTCTCCAACCACAGCCTGGCAGGAGCGGCTCTTCTCCTTGAATCCTTCCCTGAGCACCCCAGGTCCAGCACAGGCGCAGGGACAGGACATGAGAACCACTCCCCCTACCAGCCCACCCACCTGGGCTCCAGCTCCGGAGCCCCAGAGAAATCCTGCCACTGGCTGGCTTCCTGAAGGGAAAACAGGAAAGGGGACCGCAGACCCCACCCTACCACAGACCCTGCCTCTGAGCTCCAGATCCCATAACCACCTGCCTACCTGGCCATTCCTCTGGGGTGTCATATAGGCACCCAAACCTGCCATGTCCACACTCAGGCTCTTCCCCCCGACCCGCCCTCTCCTGGCACACCATCTCCCGGAATCCCTGGGCACCTCCCTCCCTCTCAGCTCAGGTCCTGGCCAGGCCCCTCTTGAGATGCCCAGTCCTCCCCCTGCCCTCTGCCTCCTCTACTCTCTCTCCACCCGTGTGACCGTCATCTCCCTCTGGGATTTTTGCTGACCACCTCCAGCCCAGGTACCTGTCAAGTGCTCCTTGCTCTGCAGCCACAGTGATCTTGTCTGATCACATATGTGATCACACCCACCCCTGCTTCAAATCCTCTATGGTCTCTCCTGGTGCTTAGGATAGAGCCCAAATTCCAGCAGAGCCCTGGGGGCCTGTCTCCTTCTGCCCTCTGCACTTTGTCTCAGTCAGCCCTCCTAGGTTCTCTTTGCTTCAACTATACCACCTAACTTGCAGATCATGGCTCCTGAGCACTCTGTCCTGCCACAGGACCTTTGCATGTGCTGCACTTTGGCCTGAAATGCCCATTTTCTCCCCTCTCTGCCTTGTTAACTCTGCTCATCCTTCAGCTTGCAGCACAGTTACAGTTTTAAGCGTGTTTGGGGGATTATTTGATCAACACTTGTCTCCCCCACGTGACTGTAGGTGAAGGGGGACAGGGATAGGTTTGCTTTCTGTCCACCACTGCAGCTGTGGCACCGAATGGGGGCTCATGAAATGTTTGGTGAATGGGTGCATGTCTATTGCCAGCAGGGGTGGGGTCCTCAGGTTAAAGGTGACATTGGGGGTCCTTCCAAGAGGCTCCTGGGTAGGCAGGGGAGGGGGCAGAGTCAGGTGGGATTCATCCGGAGTGAGAGGTGTGCAAAGGTGCAGGGAGCCGAGAAAGCGGGGGAAATGGTATGCTGGGGTGGGAGTACAGATATGCAGGGTGGGTGGGTGTAAGAGGAGAGGGACAGTGTGTGTGTGAGTACGTGTGTGTGAGTGTGCATGTGTGAGTGTGTGCATGAGTGTGTGTGTGAGCATGCGAGTGTATGTGTGTGCATGTGTGAGAATGTGAGTGTGCGAATGTGCACGCATTTGTGTGAGTGCATGTATGTGAGTGTGCATGTGTAAGTGAGCATCTGAGTATGAGTGCGTGTGAGAGAAAGAAAAGGAGAGAAAATGTGTGTGTGAGATGCAGACAGAAAGGGAGAGTGTGTGGTGTGTGTGTCAGAGTGTGTGAGAGAACAAAAGAGTGACAGAGAAAGGGAGAGTGTGTGGGAAAAACAGAGAGAAAGAAAGAGAGGGAGGAGAGAAAAAGATAAGAGAGAATGAAAGTCTCAGAAAGAGAAGGAGAGCGTGATGTGTGTTTGCAGCACGTATGCGTGTGCAGGCCAGGGCTCCGGCTCCACTGGCTGAACAGGGGACAGGAGTGGTGAGGGTGGCTGGGGGGGTCTGCCTGTCAGGGATGGCTGGGGACATGGCCAGCTGCTTGTCCCACTGGCGGTGCCGCACAGGGAAACCCCTGACCTTTCTCTACAAAGACCGAACCAACCCAAACAGAAAACCCATGTTCAGAACCTGATGAGAACCACCAGAGAGAGCATTAGGGGTGAGGAGTGGGGTGGGGAGGGGGCAGGACAGACCACAGAGGGGTGGGGAGAGTGCATCAGGCATTTCATTAGAAAGCCCAGGGCATGGACATGCAATGCTGATGCGAGAAGATGCTTCCACAGTTAATGTAAGGCATTTAGACTTCAGAAAGAAGTAAGACCAACCGGATTCTAGATGCAGATGTTGAAGATGGATGGGGAGCGGGCGGGCGGGGGCAGTTGGGGAGGCGTATTCAGCGTTTTTTAGGTTGATTTGTAACCAGTGCCAAAAAACCCATGGGTTTCGGTTCCCGGGCAGGGAGTGGGGTGGCGGGTTGGGGAGATAGTCATTGGTGTATGAGCACACAGACCACGTCATGGATGAACAAATGAGTTTCATAGTGCATTTTGATTGGATGAGTGTTTCAGACGGCGTTGTGCCAATATACAGTTTAAAGAGCAGGCATGAAAAGAGACAAGACAAGAAACACAGTCATTATCCATCGCACACAGGGCAACCCCACGTCCCCTGGCCACTGGGGGTGGCAGCTGAGGCCCGTGGGCCCCACGGGCAGCGCTGGGGTCACTGCCACACACCCATTCCCCCAGCCCTGGGGATTTGCCCGCCTGGTGGTCTGACTCCCCTCCCCTGTGCCAGACCTGGTGGGCTTACCTGGGAGGCAACAAAGGGGTGGACTGGGAGCCCTGCCTGGTGGGCAGCCTCCCCCTACACCAGGCTGGGAGTTAGCATCCCCCCTCTATCTTTCTCCCAAACACATGAACATATGAATATAATTCAGGGGCAGGGATGGCCAACAAACTCGAACCAACTACATTAATGGTGATGACAGCAATAGCAGTAATAATAACCGCTGTTTGCAGAGTATCTAGTTCCCGGCAGGCTCCATGCCAAGCATTTTGCGTCGGTTGCTCTTCATGTTAGGGGTTGTCGCCTCCTTCACTAGGAAATCAGCTCTGTGAGGGCAGATGGTTCTGTCTGGTTGGTCCCTGGCTCTGCCCCGGGACAGGCCCGGCCCACAGCGTGGACGAATATATGCATGAGTGTGAGTCTTGCAAGAACTCTGTGAGGCTGGTTACGATGACCGTCTCCGTGTTACACATGACAAGAAGATGCCACGTCGCAGTGGGGGGGCCTGTTTGATCACTGCAATCTCATTGCGCTGTCGCCCCAGGACTGGCCCCTGTGCCCCATCCTCCCGCTGGCCAGCAGAATGGCCATTGGGGTCCAGCCTAGGATCTCATACTGGCTGTCTCGGGGATGGGAGGCTTCAACCACCTCTCTCCACCTCCCTCCCACCCTCTTGTCCCAGAGGGACGTTGGTTGGAGGCTGTCTTCTGCTTAGCTGGGTGGTGAGGTTTTTTTTGGCACCAGATTGGGGCTCCAAGCCTCTCTAGAAACTCAGGACAGAAACAAGGGTCCAGTTTCTGCCAGGGGAGAGTGGCAGGTGGTGATGGTCCCCTGGAGACAGCCCTCAGGTGGGCATGACTCCTCTGGTGGAAGGTGTTGGGGCAGGCCTGGGGGTGCAGTGATGGGGAACACACCAGAGAAATGCCCCTCCCCCGTGTAGCTTCTCTGCCCCACCAGCCTTCCAAGGTGAAGAGTGGACATGTTGATCCCTTTCTGCTGGGGCTCAGACTGGGAGATGCCGGGGCAGCCAAGATGCCTGGTTATGAGGCCGTGGGTGGTCCCTGACCTCCTCTCATTTATGACATGGGCCACACCCTCTTTCTTGGGCCCCACCACCCACCCAGATCCACCCTCTGCTCTTCTCTGATCTGTTCTGAGTGGCGCCTGGCGCCCTGGCCTTTGGGCCTCCTGTTGGGTTTGGCCAACGGTAGGCCTTGGCAGGAGGCGGAGGGCAAGAGGAGAGAAGGTCTGGTACACTCTCCCCTGCTTCGCTTTGGCCCTCAGCTCTGGCAGGGACCTTGTCCCTCCATGTCCACGGCTCCTGGCAGGTGGCCCCTCCTACACTCCAGCTCTGACCCTGGGCAGGTAATGGCTTCTTGCTGCCCCTTGTCGCCCCTCCCCCTGCCCTTGCTTCTGTCTCTTCCTCAGCTCCCTGCAGTTGAATTCTCTGAGGGAGTTCTGTGTGCTGAGCTCCCGACCATGCACCATGAGCTAAGCCACGGAAAATGCTTGGCACGTGCCTGGCGTCCAGCTGGCGTCCAGCTCGTCAGCTATTACTGTTTTCATTGTTATTAAGATGCAGTTGCTCCCATGCCCAGCCCTTGGCTTTGCGCTTCTTTGTCCTTTTGCACCCCTACGAGGCTCTCCCACCTGCCTCCAACCTCCTGAGGGCCCTCAATCCTGGGATCACTGGTGAAAGGCCAAGGAGAAGGTCTGGGACAAGCCCTGGGGCTGAATTTGCCAGACAAGGGGGAGGAGGATGTGGCCTGATGGGGCCACAGTCAGGGGTCCCGAGACCACCATGTCATC